TTTCCTGTCCAGCAGGGCCGGGAAGCCGGGCCAGGCCGGCCCTAGGTCCGCGCGACCCACTCACCTCTCCCTCAGGCTCGGAGTTGGAGGAACCGCGGTCCAAACTCCCCGCGCCGGCTCCTCAGCCCGTGCGCCGCACGCCAGCTCACTTCGCGCCAGAAGCCGGCCGGTTCCGATTGGATGCGTCCTGAGAAAACCGACCAATACCGTCGCGCCGTGGTACCTGTCCCCGCCCCCGTGCGCGTCCGGGGCGGGGTCACCGCGCGGCGCTGAGGAATCACGTGTTCTTAACACCCAATCATCACGCAGAATGTTAGGTCAGGTGACTCCGGTTAAACCCCGGCTTCCGGTGCTGGTGGGGGCTCTGTTTTTGTTGTGTTTCCTAGAGTTGGTGAAGGTTCTTCATACAAAACAGGCGGCGGGGCGGCCGGCGGTCGACGGTTGGATTGGAGACCCCGAGGTTTGACAAAAATGCGGCCTCGCCGGTTCGCACAGGCAGAGGCTCTGATCCTCCGTCTGCGCCTCGGCCGCTCTCCCCTCTCCTCTCCCTTAGCAGCGCGGGCTCTGCCCCACCGCAACGCTAAGTTGTCAGTCACAGGAAAAGGGGTCGCAAACGCAGATTTCTCCAGGGACGTGGACAGTCCCTGAGTGAGAAGCTGAGCTGTGGTTCCCGCCGACTGTGGCCACGTGATGCCAGAGCTTCTTCCTTTTCTTTATTAAAATCCTTTATTTCTCTTTTAAGAAAAACTGAAAATTTGTTCTTTTTTATGCGTGAAGTATGCCAGTTTTTAAATTACCCCCAAAAATGCGGGCAAACAAAACATGTTGAATTGTAGAATAAAGCAAAAGCAGAGTATTATTTCTTTAAAAATTATTGATTTCAGAGAGGGAGGGAGGGTGAGAGAAACATCAATGTTGAGAAACATCCATGGGCTGCCTCCTGCACGCCCCCTACTGGGGATTGAGCCCGCAACCCAGGGATGTGCCCTGACCAGGAAAACGACCCTGACCTCCTGGTTCCTAGGTTGACGCTCAACCACTGCTCCTCGCTGGCCGGGCTCCGCAGATTTTTAATAGCAAAATGGGCAAATAGGAAGCAGGATAGAGACTAGGTACAAGCTCTGAATAGTCTCCCAAAAGAATAAAAGGCATTAGCCGGTTTGGCTCAGTGGATAGAGCGTCGGCCTGCGGACTGAAGGGTCCCGGGTTCAATTCCGGTCAAGGGCATGTACCTTGGTTGAGGGCACATCCCCAGTTGCGGGGGTGTGCATGAGGCAGCTGATCGATGTTTCTCTCCCATGGATGTTTCTAGCTCTCTATCCCTCTCCCTTCCTCTCTGTAAAAAATCAATAAAATATATATTTTTTAAAATGATCAGTCTTTACCTTAATTAAGCCTGGCTATTGTCTTTTCTTTGCATCTACCCTAACATACCTTTGGAATGTCAGGACAACTCCCCCTTTCCCAGACCCCTCTGGACACAACCCATGCACCCGAGTGGAGGCCATAAATCCTCTTGTTATTATTATGTTAGTTGTTGACTGTTAACTACCCTGTACCCACCTGTGTAAAAGATGTGTCTGTCACACTATTTTTTATCCAATCCCAGAAGTTGCCACTTGGTTTTCTCCCGCCTCCTTAATCTATCCCCAATAAATTTCATGTAACCCACACAACTCTTCTCTTTTGATTGTAATGTATAAAATAAGGTGCAGCCGTAACCGGTTTCGCTCAGTGGATAGAGCGTCGGGCCTGCGGACTGAAGGGTCCCAGGGTGGATTCCGGTCAAGGGCATGTACCTTGGTTACAGGCACATCCCCAGTAGGGGGCGTGCAGGGGGCGGCTGATCGATGTTTCTCTCTCATCCATGTTTCTAACTCTATCTCTCTCCCTTCCTCTCTGTAGCAAATCAATAAAATATATTTAAAAAAATAATTAAGGTGCAAAAGCGCCATTATTTCCATCTGTTGAGATTTTGCTTCCCAACAATTGTGGACAGTTTGGCTCAAATAAACTCACAAAAAATCTTTACAGATTTGAATGTTTCTTACACTGACAGAGGGCTGACACTCGGCTGAAATCGCCTGCTTCCCACACTGCCCATACCCTCCGTTTGCCTTTTTCTCCTTTGTCCTTCAACTCTGTCCCCTTCTCTACCGCCAGGCATCGTGCTGGAGAACTGCCTAATGGGGTATAAGGTGGGTTAGACTGTGAAAGAGGCGGACACTTGTACACTAACAATGACAACATAAGCCATAAGAAAGAGGACGGATATCATGGGAGCACCCAGGAGGGACACGTGGGCTTCAGAAGGTGTCCTTATACGTGAGGGATGAGCCAGTAACTCTAACATTGGATACTGGAGCCCTAGCCGGTGTGGCTCAGTGGCTAGAGCGTTGGCCTGTGGACCAAAGGATCCCGGATTCGATTCCGGTCAAGGGCACCTACCTTGGTTGCAGGCTCCTCCCCCGTCCTGGGCCCT